CGTGCTACACCTCGCGTTCTGCTTCTTGAAGCTGGCCCTGCGCCCAGCGGCCCATACTTGCGCGCTCCGTATCACCGCTACCATGCGCCCGCGCTGCGCCCAGATCTGGACCATGGCTATATCACCGAGCCCGAGGAAGCGTTGGGTGGACGACAGATTGCATATACGCGCGGAAAGGGGCTGGGCGGGTGCAGTATGGTCAATTTCGCAGTATACCTATATGGTAGCAAGAGGGATTATGAGCGGTGGGATGAGCTTGTCAATGATGACGGAGAAGACGGAGAAGGCACCTTCAAGTGGGATAACGTAAAGAGAGCATTTGAGAAGATTGAGAATTTCGACTCCTCGGGTTCAAAGACGTATCGTCATCTTGCCGACCCTTCAACTGGCCAGCATGGGACCAAGGGCAAGTTAAATGTTGGGCTACCGCCCATCCTGGAGACAGCTGTCCAGCCACAGATGGAGGCGCTTATGCAGGCGGGGGAGAAGTTAAATTTGGACCCAAACTCTGGAGATCCAGTAGGCATCAGTATTTTTCCAGCCACGTATGCTAAGCAAGGGAGGTGTACGAGTGCGATTGCTCATTTGACTGATCCACCGAAAAATCTTGAGGTTTGGACGGACGCAAAGGTGACGAAATTGCTATGGGAAGGGAAGAAAGTCGTTGGGGTTGTGACAGAGAATGGACGAGAAGGTACGTTTTGGTCCCTTTTTCGTACTTCGACTAAACATGGAATTGGTTATGGAACCAGAGCAGCAAGGCGCTGATATAAAGTAGCAACCGCCAAAAACGAAGTCATTATTTGCGCCGGCGCAATCGATTCACCTCGGCTGCTCCTTCTCAACGGTATCGGACCCAAGTCCGAACTCGAGGCCCTCGGAATCGAAGCCAAAATAGACTTGCCTGGCGTGGGCAAGAATCTCCATGACCATGTCTTGACCTTTATAAGTGTTGAAGTTGATGGAAGTGTCAATGACAAGTACGCCTTTGAGAGCAATCCCGAAATCGTCGCCGAAGCAGAAAAGGCCTGGGAAAAGGATCATTCTGGCGCCTTGGCGATCCATAACTCGGCTCTATGGGGCGGGTTTCTCAAACTACCAGGACTGGAAACATTCGACGAGTACAAAGCACTACCCAAAGATTTCCAGGAATTTCTTTCAAAAGACGAAGTCCCGACGTACGAGCTGATAGCAAACTCGGCTCTGTGGCCCCCTGGAACGAAGCTCACAGAAGGAAATACATACATGACCTTCATTGCTTTCCTTATGAATCCGATGTCGAGAGGCAGCGTGACTTTACGATCCAAGGATGCAGCCGAGAAACCCGCCATCAAGCTCAACTACCTTACTCACCCGTATGATGTCCGTATATTCCGCGAAGCAGTCCGAAACACATGGAATAAACTTGCCACCTCAACCGCCCTTGCACCATACATTGTGCGCAAAATCCTTGCCCCAGAGTCAATGTCGGATGAATCCATTGATGCGTTCGCGAAAGAGAACGCCAGTACGGTGTGGCATGCGGCTGGTACGTGCAAGATGGGAAAGAACGACGATAAAGAAGCGGTGGTAGACAAGAAGTTCAAAGTACGGGGTGTGGAAGGTCTGAGAGTGGTGGATATGAGTGTTGCGCCAGTTACGACCAATAATCATACGCAGGCGACTGCATATCTGATGGGGCAGATTGCCAGCGAAAGGTTGATCAAGGAATATGGATTGGACAAGTAGTTTGAGAGAAGGTCCCAGAGGAGATGGTTGACACTCGAATTAAGACACCCTTAATGTTTCTTCTGGTGTATTAGGTGACACGATGCGACCATTGTGACCTTGAAGTAAGGGAAAAAGCAAAAGAAGTAACACGGGCTGCTCGTACAGAAGCGGCTGAAACTCTCAGACGTGTCAAAGAAAAAGTACAAGTCCATTGTGGTAAAAGGTGGCAATTGTACAGCGGAATTGCGAAGAGGGAATCGAATAGCTCAGAATGACGTGCATGACTTGCCGCTATGCCAGAAACGGCATGGTCATGCATGTTGGTGAACGGTGAATCTTGTCAAAGTGGGGGGCTGGGGGCAAGATCTCGGTATGGGCATGGCAATTGACTCGCGATGCAAAAGCTAACCAGTGTACCCCATGGCAATAATGAGTAGTGGAGAAGGAGGCGACAAGAAGCGTGCCCTGAAATGACGGGTTCACGGCATGCACTGCGTAACCCTCAGCCTTGGGCGGGGACGGCTAGTCTGGGCGTTTCAATTGTTCGCTACCACGCCCGTTCCGCCATCACGCTATCATAGAAATACAAGCCTAGTCAAGAAACCTGCCATGACACAGCTGCTAGGGCATCTTTTAGCCATGGCAGAGATTTCTGCGACACGGACAGACCGAGAGACGCGCTCCCACGTACGGACAAGGCCTAGTGCCGCTGCTCAACGATGTCATACAGTATGCCAGGGTGATAACATGGCAACCAATGAGCTCTCCGTTGCTAAGCGTCTACCGCCTCGGAGCCTGATGTTGTTGGACGGGCGGTAGTTGCATCAATGAAGAGGATTCTAGCATCCACCGCTTAGACCCGTTTTCACCAGTAGCTCGAGCGTGGCGCCGAAGGGACGCACTTCCCCACCCATATAACACTCTGTTCCACAGTACCGGCTTGTAACTTGCCATATCCACGCGGCGACTTGACCTCGTCCATCCTGCACGCAAGTCCCTGCGAACCAGCTTCTGAAAGCCGGTTCCGATATCCACGGCCAACATGGACGTCAACCATCCCGAGCATAAACAAGATCACGTCACCGGCGACGACAAATTCCCGGTCGATACGTCGATTCCCGACCGCAAGACTGAAAATTCTAGCGAAGATGAGAAAATCGTTGCGACCAAATCTCCCCCTCAGGTTGAAATTCCCATTTACAATGACGTCGAGCGTGTCGATCAGACAGACTTATCCTTTGCTGCAATTCTCAAGGGCACTGCCGCGAACCCGCTTAACATATTCGAAAAGAAAGCGGCACTCATCAATGTTGAAATAGACAAGTTTGGAATGGGCAGGTACCAGATATGCATTTGGTTTCTTTGCGGTTTCGGCTACTTTCTTGATCTTGCATGGGCACAAGGTGTTGGTTTGATCGTCACTTCCATTTACCAAGAAGTGAGTATCCGAAAAGTATTCAATCGTATATGCCTGACATCAGTAACAGATGGATGTCCCTGCACCGGAGCAAGGAAACATCTTTTCCATTGCAAACGCAGGATTGGCTGTCGGTGCACTCTTCTTCGGCCTTGCAGTAGATGTTATTGGTCGCAAATGGGCTTTCAACTTGACTTGCCTGATTACTTCGATCTTTGGACTCTTGTTGGTAGGTTTCCTGGTCTCGAAATCAACTCTCTTTGTCTGATATTTAACCAGGCTGCTCCCAAGTTCAACTATAGTGCGATATGTGCTATCTACTTTCTCGCATCGCTAGGCTTAGGAGGCAACATTCCCATTGACGCTACCATTGCTCTTGAGTTTCTGCCACACAACCGCCGTTTTCTCGTTGCACTTCTATCCATGTGGCAACCTATTGGAGTCGCCATTGCATCCGTCATCGCCTATGGTACGACAGCAAAGTGGCGCTGCGATCCTAACCTGCCTTCTTGCGTGAGCGCGGGTGAGGGCGAAGCTTGCTGTACGGTCGACGACAACATGGGTTGGCGCTACAACGTCATCGTTCTCGGCTCCATGACATTGGCGGTATTCTTCCTTCGTTTCTTCGTCTTCCGTTTTCACGAATCACCCAAGTTTTTGCTTGCTAGGGGCAAAGAGGCTGAAGCCATTGAGGTGCTCCACAAAATCGCAAAGTTCAACAAGCAGCCGCCACCAACGCTGACAGTGGACATGTTTGCTGCTATTGATGATGCAGCTACCAATGCAACATCCGGTGCACATGTTAGAGCAGAAGTACCTGCGGGTACTAAAGCGACAACCAAGAAGGTTATTCAAGGCTTCGGCAAGGAATTGAAGCGTCTTAAGGGCATCTTCGATAACAAGCTATCTGCCTACATCTTCATTCTACTGGCACTCACATACATGGTAAGTAGGATAGCCCAAATTTGTGTCAGCTTACTAAGTATGTCCTAGGGAGACTACTGGTCATTCAACCTTGCAGGAGCTTTCCTCCCTATCATCCTCTACAACAACAACGTCTCGGATGGCAGATCAAGCGTGAGCGATACTTACGAACAGTATATGATCATCTACTTCCCCGGTATCATTGGCGCAGTCCTCGCGCTGTTTTCCGTTCAGATGCCATTGCTAGGCCGCAAATGGTCGCTTGTCTTTTCTGCTCTATGCCAAGGAATTTCTATGGCGATGTACACCCAAGTATCTTCGACAGCAGCCTATGTTGGTCTTAATGCTCTCGAGTACATTATGCAAACGGTAAGTGCTTAGAAATCTATATATGCATCCAAGTACTGATTGAGTTGCAGTATTTCAACGCTGTTCTGTATGCGTCTGCCCCAGAACTCTTCGATACCACCTACCGAGGAAGTGTCAGTGGCATACTGTCATGTCTCGGTCGCATAGCTGGAATCGTCGCACCATATGCTGGTGCTCAATTCCTTGCAGAAAAAAGCGCTGGTATCCTTTGGCTAGGTGCTGGTGGTATTTGGCTTTCCGCACTATTGATGTGCTTCCTGCCAGTAGAGATGAGAAACAGACAGATGTTCTAGACGCATACGACACCTTTTACAGCACTGTGTTCCGATTCAAGAAGCCATTCCTGATACCCCAGTACTTTAGATTTCAATAAAATACATAGCAGTAGACGCAGGCCATGCCAGAGGATATTTTGGTGAATTATATCTGTGCTAGATTCATCACAGCCTATCCTACCACCAGTAATGTAGCTTCTGCAGCCATGGGTTTATCAAGTTAATGCAACGCTATCATGAAAGGAGCCAGAAAGACAGATGATCGCATTCCTGAAACGGAATACCAACTCTCCTCCATATCCAGCTCACTCTTCACCAATCAAATCCGTCCTCCCTCTAAACCGACATTTCTCCACCCTCTCCTTCGATATCAAAAAGCTCTCCGGAAACCACCCTGGCGCGCTCTTGACCCCACCCCCCTCAATCATCTCCACCAACGCCTCCGCCGACTTCAAACAAAGCACCATCCCATGCCCGTTAAACCCAGCCGACACCCATAACCCCCTTTTCCCAGGAACCTCACCTACAAACGGCTGTCCATCCGCCGTCGCGCCCATAATCCCCGTCCACTCGGTCTCCACACGCCTCTCTGCCTCAGCCTCCGACGTCTCGCCCCAGTTCTCGCTGCCGTGGTACCCCGTCAGTGTTTCGCGCAGGTACGCAGAGATAGCCGGGTTGAGCGAGGCGTCGTCTACGATTCCGAATTCGGTTGCGCCGCCGTCCGGGAGGCGCGCGAGACCGCCTCCAATGACGATGTGCTGGCCACCAGAGGGGAGCGGGCGCGGGATCATGTATTCGTAGCCGTCGCGGCCGATGAAGGAGTAGGTTGTAGGGAGTGGGGCGGGGAGTTTGGTAGCGCTGCCTGGACGCTGTACGGTGATTTGGCCGCGCATGGGGACTATGGCGCCTTGGAGTTCTTGGAGGATGTAAGGTGTGTAGCCGTTTGATGCGACAATGACTTGGCTTGCTGAGACGGTATTGTGTTTGGCTATAATGTCCCATCGGGAGATACTGTCGTTGCTTGTTTCTTGGGATGGCTGTATGCTGTCGACTGTTGTGTTTGTGCGTAGCTGCAGGCCTTTCTTGATGCACCTTGATAGTATGCCTGTAGTAAAGCGGTACGCGTGCACGCGGCCTGCGACGTATTCAAAAGCACCCTCCAGCTTCTCTGGTTCTTTCAGTGTAGAGTTAGAGAACTCTGGTGCAACAAAGAATTGTTTTTGGACTTGTGCGGTGTCTTCATAGATTTGGTACCATGCGGCTTTACCGACTTCTTTCTCATGATCCTCGGTGTCATCACGCAATGCCTGGATAGCTGCTTTCCCCGCCTCAAAAGCAGATTTATCGTAGATAAGGTCGACGGTATTGCAAAGCTTGTTTTCGCAGTCGATGCCCAATTTCCCGGCTAGTTGATGCGTTTCGACGATGTTTGCATACTCCAGTCTTGCGATCTTGAGCGCCTCTTGTTTGCCGAGGGCCTTAGCGTGTTGCATATAAGTCCGATAACTCGCTGCTTTCGTATGTCCACCATTGCGACCTGTCGCACCGGAACAGATTTCACGTGCTTCAAACATCACTATACGTGCACCTGGTCTCTTTTCGAGAAGGTTGTGAGCGATCATGGCACCCGAGATACCAGAACCAATGATGGCATAATCATAAGGTTTGGTGAACTTATCGGTCTCTGGTTCGATGACATTGGCAAGAGGCGATCGTGGAACTTGCCAGTATGAAGCTAGAGGGTTTGCGATTGGTGGTAAGACAGGGATACTGGCTCGTTGCTCCATGGTAGTTTCAGATCGTTGACAATAAGATTGTTTCCGTGATGTTTCAATAGAGTTGTGTAATTTCTGAGTCGATTTCAATCTTCGCGCATGTCAAAGTACGTAGTACAAAACCCTTATGGGAAGAGAAAGGTAAATGTTATGGTACAGGCCGAAGGTGGGGTTGGATACGGGCCGGCTGCACATTCTTCTTTGAGTTAGACACGTCGACTGTATCTGCCACTGTAACCTGGTAAATCCAACAACACAAAGACTATTATTAAGTCTCGAATACTGAGATTTGCCGTGTAAAGAGTTTTACCATGGCTAGCTATGTTCTTCATATCAGCAGCAGATATCCTGATCTGGTAGTAAAGACACCGAAGCAAAAGTTGAAGAGATATGTGGTAAAGCTCACTAGTAATAACATCTAGCGAGAGCGTAGTAGTGACTAAGTAATCATGATACTATCAGCACATTTGTATTTGTATCAGCGTTGAAAACGTCCCGACAAGAGCAACGAGTGTGGATCTCTTTAAACCGCTGACATGCATGCTTATTGGCGGAAACATCGGGGCAAAGACAGCCGATCGCGATATGCAAAGATTGAATCATTATTCCAGAGGAGTTTGGAAGATCTTTTTTTCAATGCAAAGGCTATCGCAACTGTCGTCGCAGCTAACCCGCCGTCCCAAAAGCATTGAAGACAAGGTGGGCATAGACGGGACGGCTAGTAATTCTACCCCGCTTCAGATCGACCACGGCAACTGTGCAACCGTAAACACATACCCCAACATGGCGAAGACTAAAGTCGTTGTCACGCGCCAGCTCATTGATGAGGCCCAAAAATTACTAGATGCGAAGAACGAGAGCTTAGAGATTGTGCAATGGCAGTCGGAGAAGGTAAGTCCACGTTCCGAGGCAGCAAGTCTGCAGACGGCTAATGTGCATATATACAGCCCTGCGACCGATCTTGGCTCCTGCAAAACGTCAAAGGAGCAACTGGAATTCTGGTGATGTTAACAGACAAAGTTGACGAAGAGCTTCTAGAGGCTGCCGGGTCTCAACTGAAAGCAATTGCCTCTTTCTCCGTCGGCACCGACCACGTCGACCGAGATGCTCTGAAGAAGCGCAACATACGTCTTGGCTACACTCCAACATGCCTTACCGATGCTGTTGCAGATCTCACTGTCATGCTCATTTTGATGGCGCAAAGGAGAGGTGGAGAGTCCATTGCCAAAGTCGCCAGGGGCGAGTGGCCGCAAATGCCATGGCACCCTCTGCTCATGACGGGTCCACAAATCAGAGGCTCGACAGTGGGGTTCCTAGGCTTCGGAAGAATCGCACAAGCTTCCCTACAAAGACTCTTGCCATTCGGTATTAAGCGCGTCATCTATCTCACGTCTAAGCCAGGACAACCCGCCAGAGAGGACCATTTCGGTTTACTCCAGAATTCTAGCATTCCCATCGAGCCGGCCACAAACGCTGATCAGCTCGCTCGAGAAAGCGATGTTGTAATTGTTGGATGCGCTTTAACTCCATCGACTAAGCACCTAGTCAGTACGGACTTCTTCTCCAAGATGAAGAAGTTATCCGTCATCGTCAACATCGCTCGGGGCCCCATCATCGACACTGATGCTTTGGTCAAAGCACTAGATGAAGAGCAGATATTTGGTGCTGGCCTGGACGTCATAGAGAACGAACCAAATATTACGGCTGATCATCCGATCTTGAAACAGCCGAGAGCTGTGCTTGTACCACATATTGGGAGTGCGACAATAGAGACACGTGAGCAGATGGCTACGGAAAGTGTGAAGAATCTACTTGCAGGGTTGTCGGGAGAGGAGATGATAAATGAGTTGCATCTTTGAGGTACGACAGGATTGCATTGATGGATTGCAGATATTTCAAGATAGTCATCTGATCTACTGCTAAGAATTCATCGCATTGGTACTATTTGAAATTCACGAAAATCATTTCAAAATATTTATCGATGAAGCGCTCTCAACGGTCTCAGCTTCCCAGGTGGTGATGGAATTTTATGGAAAGTGTAGTGCTTCACATACCCCTTCATCCTCGACGACTCCCTATGCCTTTTGTAACCTTAACTTTAACGCATCTCCGACTCTTCTGCAAAATGGTCGCTCATCGAATCGTTGCAAAGCCGCATATATGAGTGCGAATGTAATCCAAAACTCGATCATTGCCGCAGTGAAGACCAAGACGATCAGCGCAGGGTGCATCTTGTGAATACAGTAGTTCGGCTTGTATATGAATTTCGATACAATATTCGAAAGAGTTCTGGAATGTTCAGGACAAGAGATGTGTTTCAGGGATTTGATACTGCAGTTCGGTTAAGTATGAGGATGAGCTTCGATGTTTGTTTCGTTTTCAGGGTCGCAATGAAAGCCCACTGGAAACTCCAGTGAAGTCAGGTCTTTCGTCCGCTTGGAGACCACTTTGTTGATCATATGATAGATATTCGGCAGAAAAGAGAGGGATTTTACGTGGGTCTCTGCATAAGTTGTCAACATTTATTACGCAAGTACAGAGTACTGAAGAACGCAATGGTAAAGCAAAAAAAAAAACTAAGAACAGCAAGACTGTGACTCTTGTTTCTATTGCTGACATCCTCAAATAGTGACTGCAAACAGATCCAACTGACATGTCACATTTCATGCACCTTTTTCTTCCAATACAACATTCAAATGTCGCGTATTCCGCGAATGTTCATATTGATCATTGAATATTAGGCTAAGGTATTGACAAAAAAGTCTCTCTTTATCTACACTGCGCCTCCCAAAAAAATATAGGCCACTCAAATGAGCTTAAAGCCGCCAGGTACTTGCGTCTGGAACACGCCTTGTGGATCATACTTGTCTGCGACCCTGTACATCTTCCTCAATTCCTTCTTTCCGTAGCTTCCAAGGGGGTCTTGGAACGATGCGGCAAAGTTGAGATACTTGTAGGGGTGGTAGACGCCCTCCTTCTTGGTAATGTCCTCAACTAGCTTCACAAGGTCAATAAGTCCCTCTTCGAAGCCATCGGCTGCGGCAGCATCTTCAAAGGTGAAGATGATTTGTAGGAAAACGAGGTCCTTCTCGGGGGTTTCCTCTGGCCCGAAACCGAGACTGTTTGGCGCGGTACCGTTTCGTGGAGGGGCGGGAAGAGCTTGGAAAGTAATCTCAGCAATGGGCTTTGCGGAAGCGTACTGCTTGGAGATCTCGGGGACAATCTTGCTCCACATATCGTTGATGCTGTGCATGACAGTAGGCGAGATCTTGAATGAGGTGGTTGCCCAGATGGTTCGTTGAGGGTTTGCGGAAACTTGTCGCGAAGCATTCCTCGTGTGCTCACTGATGGGAGCCTCGACTCTGCCGTTCATGACCTGCGGCTGTACATCGACGATTGCTTTCAACGCACCCGGCTTCTCTGTTGGCTTGGTGTGCCACATGATACTGACTGGGTTGAAGGTACCAGCTGTGTGGTTGTATCGCACAGTAACCCAACCAGCTGCATACGGATCGTATTCACCACTCTTGAAATCTGTGTACGCTGAAAGTAGAGCTGCAGTAGCATTGGGGCCGTACACAGTTCTGCCACCCCAGATTGAGCGTGCAGCATACGTCTTGAGGTCGAAGCGAGTGACAATACCAAAGTTGTTCTGACCACCTTTGAGAGCGGCATAGAGATCAGAGTTGGATGTGGAGTTTGCGTTGACAAGCTTGCCGCTAGCGAGTGCGACTTCAAAGTTTTCCACTGCATCACAGGCCCACCCGTGTTCGGGACTCAGGAACGAAATACCTCCTAAGAGCAAAGTTAGTTATCAGACTTGATGGCTTTAAGAAAAGGCAATTTTACTTACCACCAGTCAGAAACCCAGCAGTTCCTACAACTCCGATACGTCCACCCATAACAGTGCGGTTGCGCTTCTCAGCGGTATCATAAACATCTTGCCATAATGCTCCAGCACCAACTCTTACTACTTGGTCACCTTTCGCTACCTCGACCTTCTTCAAGCTCTGCATATCGATCGTAACGCCATCATCGATGTTGTTGGATCCCGCATTTGCATTGTGACCTCCACCCTTGATGGCAAACTTGGTGCAGTTGGTTTGCGCTAGGATTGAGACAGCCGTAGATACATCTTGCGATGTACTAGGACGTACGATACAAGAAGGATGTAAGCGAAGCTGGAGAAAAGGATATGACTGAATTGAAGCGTTATAAGTTTGTGCGGAGGGATAAAAGGTGTTGTTTGGAAGAGCAGATGACAACTCCTCGCATGCATTACATGAAGATGAAGATGCAGACACTGTGCTGACGAGCAAGCTAATCGAAGAGACTGCTAAGAAACGCATCTTGGACCTGAGAAGGATTGAAGTGAGCGAAATTGCTTGAACGTTCTTGCAAGCACCAGAGCGTCTTTCTTCTTAAACATCTTGCACAGTCCGGGAAACAATACAAAAAAACATGTCCGAAGCAACAGAGCTTCCTGGTACCTTAGCGCCTTAGTCGCCGGTTCCCGAATACGAGACTTAATATGTGGCGCTTGCATTTTCCGCCCTGTTTGGTCAGCCGCAGCTGACATGGACCTCTGTGATTGGCTGGCCTGAGCGCGGGCATCTAAATCTGGAAGTAAAAGCAGACAGTGAAGTTTACACAACATGCTTATACCGACCGTTTCGCATCGCAAACGCGGGGAGCCGGGGATAGTTCAATACAGCGATGCGGAGATGGGCGTTGAAGGGTCCATGAAGTAGGGTATATTTAGCGAAGTCAGCGGTGAATGCATGAGAAATCGGCACTGCCGCATCAGGCCCGACATCGTGAGGCGCAAGAAGAGAGACATGTTGGTACCACGCTAATTGTTGGAGCCGATTGCCGGGATCATCCAGCAAAGATGTGGTGAGGGCGCTGTGGGCAGATCATAGTCAGTTTCGAATGTTTCTTGTTCACTAGTTTGTGTAGATTTTCTTTTGATCCATCAAAACACCCCTGAATATCTGTCATTGCAACTTTTTGAGATCCATTTCTGGAAAATGCTTCAATATTCTCTCCTGTGGCGTTGTATCTCGAGTAAGCGGTAGGGTCTATTGATTACGGGCGAATCATGCTGGAGCCTTAGGTTGTTAACCACTTTCTGTTATGCCGTATCGTCGGTTGATGCTTCGAATGTAGTCTTCTTCCAGATTGTACTGATACTATAAGAAGCTCATATTATGGTACAATGATCAAGAAATGCCGGAGTTTCTTTCAACACTTCGGATGTGATTTCAACAGGCACTAATGTTGAGGGACGCTGGGAGTCAACGATCGTCAGTCACAACCTTTCCATCGCTGAAGTCTCGTCTAATTTCCCCTTCATTTCATGATCTTGTTGATTGCTTTTAGGGAAACGCCCGGTGGCAATCAACAAGCATGAGAAAATTTCGCGGCCTATTTAGCCATTCCGTTGAGAACTCCGATGCCATAACACCATCGTGTTGTCAGCTAGATATCCTGATAGGTACCCTCATCTGGTAAGGAATTGCATCAAGGCCCATTGTTATAAAATGCATATAATGATAACGTGAGGCCTAAGATCTGCAAACTCTGACTCCTTTTTCTCGTGTGGAACGCTTGGGATCGGCAAAAAAACTTACTTTTTGACTTGGAGAATGCTTATCCGAAAAAAAGTTCGACCCTAAAGTGGCAGAACATACCGATGAGGTATCTGTAGGTGCACGGAAAAGTTGCACAAAAAATCGGGCCCCTTCCCAGCAATAGAGCGGATCTTCGTTGCAAGATTGAGGGAATACCTATCAAGGTATCAAATAACGTCACTAGAATTTGGGAACCAAAATGTTTTGATACATAGATTGTTCGTGTGGGAAAAATCGGTGACCAGAATGAAGTATCGATCTAATATGGCAAGCAGCTCACGGGCCGATAAAGCGAGCTTTCAATGATTTCCCCAGCATTTGGATATTCCCATTCCGGAGACTAAGAACATTTGCCATTCATAACGAGAAAGAGCTTTCTCAAGTTTCGCTACGATTCTCGACCTGGAGTGAAGAGCGATATTTGGCCGATAAAGAAGATTATAATAGAGAATATTGCGACAGAGCTATATGCGACGGCAACCTGAGCGAGTGTATCAGGGGACTGTACCACAAAAATGACCGAGCCAGCGTACCTTGGTATTGTCGTCCCAGACATACGGATGATCCAAATGCGTGGTTGCGGACCACACATGCAGGAACATGCCGACAATCATGCAAAGAGTGGCCGAAGTGAGAAACATAACGGGCATCTGCCAAGTAAAGACCTGCAGATGGCTAGGTGCTCTGCGACCGGTTTTTGAGGAATGTCTTCTCTCGCCGTTAGTCTTCTGAAGAATTTTGCGGATGTTGGCGAGTCCGTCACGGTGCGATGAGAGACGGTGTAGTCGAACGGTTTGATCGGCAGCCGTGAGAATACTGAAAAGCGAAAGAATGATACCGCAGTACCAGGACGTCCTCACTGGCCATGGTGACTGTTTGCCATTTGGCAAGATAGAGGGCCAGCTTCCCGTAGACGTGAGGACTCCAGCCAGAAGAGCGGACTGTAACATGTCAGCTCAACATTGATCTTCAAAATTCTTCCAACCACAAATAGGTTCAAACCATTCGTTGCTCCCAGTTCCTGAGGCATGATCACACAAAGCACGTGGGATTACGATAAATCTTGATTCTCGCACGTACCACAACGCCCACAAAGTTCAGCTCACTTAGTCTATTATCTCTCCACTTAATGGTAAGATCATCCTTCTCATTCTCGTCTTCAGTGTTCAGCAGAATCTCAATAGGATCATACGTGGTCGAATCTGGAGCGTAGATGCCGCCACCAAGGAATCTGAGCAACCGCAGTACCGACCATCTCCTTTTGTCAGAATCAACGTCATCTCCGATCCTTTGGTGTGAAGAACATCCAAGGAGTGGTGTCCGCGAGCCGGAAGAGCCTCTATCCTCGACATCTGCCGAATGTGTCATAGCTCGAAGTGATGCCTCGGCTTGGTAGTGGGGTGTTGGTGGGACTATCAATGACGACGTGTATCCTCAATATCGGACCGACAGACATGCGCACAAAAAACGAAAACAATAAGTAGTTGAAAAACTGAGTGGAGGTACTTGTATTAAATGTATATCATGTAGCAGTTTGTTACCGGTTTCTGAAGCGGGTAGTAGATCTCGTGCCCTTTACAATGACGCAGTACCTACGATATTTTATTCCAACCAATCAACCTGCTGTCTGGGTTTGCCGATAGAATGGGCGAATCACATTGAGGCACGATCGCACATTGCTGCCGTGACCAGATCCAAGGACGATCTGAAGTGCAAACAGAGCCGACAGAGGAGGAAGACGTCGCTGATTGGTGTGTAGTCGGATGTATCGCCTGCTGTGCGGCAATCGGTCCTGCACCCCACCCCACCCCCACTCCCACGCGTTGAGATGCGCCGTTTGTATGGTGCCTCGGAAAAGGTCCACAAAAAGCAATCCCCTCTAGCGTTCATAAGCAGAGACGACACATGGCCAGATTGGACGGGCTACATCTTTACAACACCTCATCCTGGATCAATTGCTGGAATAAATCAAAATGTCAGCCGTTGCACAGAAGAAAGATTTGTATGTCGGCACAGACAAGCACCGATGGTGGAAGGAGGCCGTGGTATACCAGATCTACCCTGCCTCATTCCTTGACAGTAACGGCGATGGTTGGGGCGATGTAAAGGGCATCACATCGAAGCTGGATTACCTCAAGGATCTAGGCATCGATGTGATCTGGCTATCCCCAATCTACAAAAGCCCGCAAGCCGATATGGGCTACGACATTGCAGACTACGAAGATATAGACCCCAGCTATGGTACTTTGGCTGATGTCGACAACCTGATCCACGAAACCAAGAAACGCGGCATGAAGCTTGTCATGGATCTGGTTGTCAACCACACCTCAGAAGAGCATGCATGGTTTCTCGATTCTCGATCATCCAAGGAATCAAAGAAAAGAGACTGGTATATCTGGAAGCCAGCAAAGTACGACGCCGATGGCAACCGTCAGCCGCCAAACAACTGGGCACAGATCTTGGGAGAAGCCAACTCGGCGTGGACATGGGATGAAAAGACACAGGAGTATTACCTTTCACTCTTCACACCGGAGCAGCCCGACCTCAACTGGGAAAATCCTGATGTCCGTGAGGCCGTACATAACATCCTCCGCTTCTGGCTAGATCGTGGCGTCTCCGGTTTCCGCATGGATGTCATCAACCTTATTTCAAAGGTCCAAACCTTCCCCGATGCACCAATCTCAGTCAAAGATGCCAAGTACCAACCAGGCGACAAGTACTTTGCCAACGGCCCCCGCCTACACGAATGGCTCAAGGAACTGCGCCGCGATGTCCTGTCAAAGTATGACACTCTGACCGTAGGCGAAATGCCCTTTGTCCGCGATGAAGACGAAGTCATCAAAGTCGTCGGCTCAGAAAGCGGTGAGCTGAACATGATTTTCAACTTCGACCTTGTCGACATTGACAACGTTCCTGGCGACTTCAAGTACACACTGCACCCCTGGGACGCACGCGATCTCAAGAAAATCGTAAACAGACTACAGCGTCTGATGCTTGAGCGTGACGGTTGGAACACACTATATGTGGAAAACCACGACCAGCCCCGCAGCATAAGCAGATATACTGACGACAGCGATGAGTGGCGCTCCTACGGCGCAAAGCTGCTCTGCCTTATGCAGACAACCCTCGCCGGAACCCTCTACGTCTATCAAGGCGAGGAAATTGGCATGCGCAACATACCCAAAGAATGGGGCCCAGAAGAGTACAAAGACATTGAAAGTATCAATTTCTTCAAAAAGTACGTGTCCCCATCTTCTCCCCTAACCTCCTTCCATCCCTCCCCCTTTTGTATCTCGAAACGACGCTTTGAACTAAACGACCCAGATACCGCGACCTTTACCCCAACAACCCCGAAAAACAAGCCCTCGCAGCAGAAATCATGCAACGCAAAGCCCGCGACAGCGCCCGAACACCCATGCAATGGAACGCCGACTCCCAAGCAGGCTTCACATCCGGAACCCCCTGGATGCGCGTCAACACGGACTATCCCGCCATCAACGTCGCCGAGCAACTCGCCAACCCCACGCCCGCCCCCGGTACTCTGTCCGTCCATGCGTTCTGGAAGCGTGCCCTGGAGTACCGCAAGGAAAACAAGGACGTTTTCGTGTACGGGGATTTTGAAATGCTGGATATGGGACATGAGAAGGTTGTGGCGTTTAGGCGGTGGGGCAAGGATAAGGCGTTTATCACTGTGCTGAATTTTAGCGGTGAGGAGGTTAAGTGGGGAGGTTTGGGTGAAATAAAGGTGAAGAAGTGGGTTGCGGGGAATTATGATGAGAGGGAGTTGGAAACGAAGGCCAAGAGTGGGGCGTTGGAGTTGAGGGCTTGGGAGGGGTTGCTGGGACTTTTGGAGTGAAGGTTGTGTAGATTACTATTGTACTAGCTAGGTATACGTACAAATGAGACAGCCTAATTTTGAGGATACTCGAGGGAACCTAGCATACATCTTCTTCTCAAAACATGCAGCTCGAAGCTACATGGCCATCGGAACAAGAACTGCCTTTACTCCTTCCCTCCACCCCTCTCACTCTCCTTTCCAACCCGCCTCAACAGTCCCCGTTATCTTCTTCTCAAACACTTCAGGATCCAGCGTCCTACCCGTCTTATCCCGAAACCGCCAACTAAGCCTACTCCACACCATGGAACAGTCCTGCTGCAGGATGCGGGCGATCAAGCGCAAGTCATTGGCTGAAAAGGTGTCATCGGGCTCGAGTTCGATCTCAGCAGGACGAGTCGTGCTGGGCTTGGACTTGCTGGACGTGCTACGGCGCGAACGGGACTCGGATGGTGCTTTGGTAGAGCGGGGGGCTGATGCGGGTTTTGCTGGACTCGGGGGCTGCTGGACGTTAGGGACTGGAACTTCCCAGGTATTCGGAGCGGCGGTTTCTTGGTTGGTAGTGTCCCAGCCGGTGGCAGTATTGGCCTCCGGGTTGTTAGCACCCCAGCCTGATTCAATGGCAGCGCTGGTTTCCTGGTTGGTATTATCCCAGGTTGCTGCGGTGGTACCTGCGGCTGCTGCACCCCATAGATCGACAGGGTCATTGTCCTTGCTATCGCTGGCTCCATCCGTATTGATCCAGACATCTTTACTGTCTTTAGCATCGCTGGTGTCGCCCGTCTTTGTAGGATCACCCGTTTCCCAGGTACCTGTATCATTGGCTTTCTCAGCCTCGCCCTGCTTGTCGTCACTTGTCTCACCGAACGTTCCTCCAAAAGTGCCACCCCAGGAAACATCTGGAACTTCAGAGTCTTTCTTGTCTTCTTCCTTATTGCTGTCTTTGTTATTGTCCTTGGTTCCCTGTTTCTGCTTCTGTTCGTCAAGCCTTGCGTCCTTCTGACCTGCATTCCCTTTACCAGCGTTATTTGTTGCATTGTCAGGTTTCCAGTCCACTGGTTTAACTATCTTGAATCTTGTTCTGCACTGGCCCTCAGGCTTACCGAGGTTACTAGCAATGGTTTTCCAAGGCGTATTCTCTGTTTTCATCTGCAGTAGCTGATTGTCCTGCTCCTTAGTCCATGTGTTTGTATCATCTGGCTTCTTTGCCTCGCCTTCTTCTGCAGCAGTGTTGTTTGGAGCTGGCGTTTCATTCGAATCTCCACTCTCAGTTGCCTGCTTAGTCGCTTTTGCGGCGTTCCTTTCCTCTTTCTTGTCATCTTTCCTCTCTCCTTCCTTTTCGGCTTTCTTCTCATCCTTCTTGGTATCACCATTGGAAGTATCTGCTTGGGTTACCCACATATTGCCAACGTCTCCGGAGCCCCAGAGATTTTCGACGTTGCTGGCTGTCTTCTGGGACCCTTTGTTAGAAACACTGGCATTGAAACCACCACCACCCCAGACATCGTTCTTGTGACTAGGTGCTTTCTTTGAAGTCGACTTTGTGGACCCACCAGTGACCTCGAGATTATCCCAGCCACCGGTTGGCCATTGATTCTCGGCGTTACTAGCAAGCTTTTTGGAAGTAGATTTTTTCGAATGCTCCTTTGGTGGCTGGATCCCAGATGGGACTTTGGCGAGACTTGCGGCAGTCAACTGCGGCTTGCCCATTCCCGTAAGTCTACCCTTGCGTCCATCGCTTGCTGTCCACTCTACCAAACCTCCGGGGGAAGCGACCTAGATCAATTAGAATCGGCAATGGATACAATGTAGTACCTGGTGACTTACCAGTTCAGCCAACTGGCTCTGCCTTCTGGGTCGCGGTGGTAGGGGTGGTAGTTTCGGATCTTTGTATGGTTTATCACTGAACCCGAGAATGTAACCGAGCGATAATCTTCGGGGGGCGCTGGATGGGTCGGGCATGGTGCGTGTACATGGGATATCCGTGTCAAAACTCACAGATGCTGCGAACAAAAGTGGCAAATTGTAAGTAGATTCCAATAGAGGTGAGAGAACAGGGTCTCCACAAACGATCCAAAAAAGGGTCGACAGGACCGGTGAATGTGAGGTAGGCTGCGCAAACGAAATGGAGATGACTCAAGAACAGACAAGACAGTATGACGAGTAGGAAGTGAGATGCTGCAGCAAAGTAGATGTTTCACACGACGAGATGAAGGCGCATTTCACACTTGTAAATAATATCTCCAATAAATTGCTTAATTGTACTATCCTTTTGTCACAGAGTTTCGATATTGATGATATGGTATTACCATCGCCGCAGATCGCCATCATAGCTAGAGTAAAGGTGGTACACGTGATAGCTATGCATTTTTGTAGTGAGAGAACATTGTTTTCACAACTTGAAAAGGTGCTCAATAACCATATATTTTTCTACGCAAAGTCTAAGGGGTATGTCTAGGAAAAAGTGAGATGTGGTTGGGATGAAGAATACGTTCTGAAGAGGGGGGAGATCAAGCTGTCGCTGACTAAGGGGGACGCTAGTGTTCTGGCCCTGGAATTGCGGGCAAGCTGGCATCTCCGTATACGTACTTGGCGTTTCCCCAAATCCAAATCTCGAGCACGACAAAGCAGCACGACAACATTCGCAAACATGCTGTTCCCCTCATTCGCCATTCTCGCGGCGGCGAGCAGTCTACTGTCATTTGCGACAGCGCACAACATCCAGATGAAGGCTCATCAGCGCGAATGCTTCCACGAGCAATTGCACAAAGGCGACAAGATGACAGTCACGTTCCAAGTCGGCGACCGGGAATTTGGTGGCAGCGGGAACCTGGAAATTGATTTTTGGGTGCGTGAGGGAGACACGAGGCTTTGGGCAAGGTCAATTGCAGTGGCAGGACTAACTCAACTTGGCAGATTGAAACTCCCTCTCGCAGCTACCAAGTCCACGAGCGCGGCGTAGCCAACGGTGACCATTCTTTCGATGCGACCGAGGATGGAAAGTACACGTACTGCTTCAATAACGAACACTGGGGCGCCAACACCAAAGAGGTCTCGTTCAACGTGCACGGCATTGTCTACGTCCCCGAATCCGAAGCCCCACAAGATCCTTTGGAGAAGGAGGGTAAGAAGGTTTGAATTGAGGCAAGCAAGGGCAAATGCTAATGGTATCAGTGCGGTCCATGTCGGAGCTCGTAGCGCAGGTCAAGGACGAGGAGATGTACATGAGCACCCGTGAGCGAGTACACCGAAACACTGCCGAGAGCACCAATTCGCGCGTCAAGTGGTGGAGCATTTTCCAACTCATCGTACTGGCAGCCCAGGGGTTCTTCCAGGTGTGGTGGTTGAAGCGATTCTTTGAGGTACGCAAGGCGATGAAACGGACAACCGGCTTATTGGGTCACCATACTAATGTGCTTTCTAGGTCAAGCGCGTTGTTTAAGAGGTGTCTTGTCGGTAGCTTCGAACTCGTGTGGGCGGGATATATCGCTCATCTTCAGCTGCGTTGCCCTGCATTGTTCTTGTTTGTTTGGCGTTGGAGCGCATATTCGGGAGGTCCAGCGTGGCAAAAGATGGAGTACGGTAGAGAATGTATTATGACTCACAGGGCAGAAGACTGGGTAAGGCTACATATGGGCATGCATGTTCGTTTCAGTTTTTGTTGATTTTGCCCTGTTCCATAACGCTCTATGGGTCTGGTTGTGTCTGCCTGGAGGGCTTGGCATCTGTCCGACACGTCTCTTTGGCTGGCTGCACGAGAACAGCCAGGCATTGCCGTGTGGGCATCAAGTCGAGTGGTCGGTAGTCGTGGTGGTGAGCATGCCGAAAGGTGATCAGACGGTAAGCCCACGCAATGAATCGTGGCCATGCCCCCATTTCCACTTTCACATGCCTAAATGGTAAAATAAGCCAAGTAGTACTACCCGTCCCGACAGTCATCGCATTTTCGTTTCACTGCTATTTGCAAGCCAGGCCTCTCTCACATGTAATCTTCGGCCAGTTTCGTAGCACTCTGGCAACTACGTCGCGGGCTCAACGTGGCCCGTTAGCCGTCTGCGACTCCACACGCATCCACACTTCACCGACATGTAGGCTACAAGTGGAAAGCCCAATTCTTATGGTGTTTCTGCGGATGCCTGGTCAAGTGACTGAAGATGTGGCGCACCTTCTATCACCTTGACTGTTAGCGCCTTCCCTGTCACTTTCACCACAACTTCCACCAGAGATAAATACCCAGCAAGCCCACGCCTCCCTAACTCCTATTATGACATCGTCAACGCAACTTACTCAAGGTGCATCCCATGGGACCTTCGCACTCCACTGCTCCTGCCGCTTGGTACACAAACATGGCTAAGGATGACTCGGACGACGCAGTAGGTGCCATCATAGCAGTCCCACCATCTCTTGAACCGGACAACTATAAGCAAGAGCCAGGTTATCAACATGGCCTTTATGCGGACCTTCTGTTTCGACCGATTGGTTATGAAATCCCACCTATTTTGCCTATTCAGTATCGCGATGATGGCTTCAGTGAGTTGCACTCTTGGTATGCCCAGAACCAGCACAGAATTGTGTCGGAACAAACCCAGATGCCTCAGGTACAACCAGTATACATGCCTTATACAGGCCTCTATGCAGTACCTGCCTATGGCAATACCCAAATGCCTCCATCGCAACGCCCTGAGGCACGACCTCGACTGCACCCATGTGCCAATCTCCTGCACTCTTCTCCCGAACAACTAACATCTCAACTATCACCTTTTCAGATGTCCCCGCCCATCCAGGAGTGGCCAACACACAACTTGAGAATGGATGAGACTGCCCGAAAGAAACGAGAAGAGTTCCTACAAAATGAGGAGGCAAAACGGGCTGAACAGGCACAAAGGATACAATCAACACCGTCAATGCAGTGTGGTGTACCTCCTGCACCTCCTTCTTGTCCTCAAAACAATGGAAAACGCAAATCCCGTGATGAAGATTTACCGGCGCCGTCTAATCCTCCGCGACGTTACCGCACCCTTATTCCAGGCCCTGCACCTAAGGAGCTTCCTCAATCCTCCTACCCATGCGGGAGTCAAAATGGTATTCAGTCTCAGCCATCGGGCCCTGGTTCTTCGTACAGTTTCCGTCACTCCGTCTATGATCCCATGCGCGCTGCTAATGAAGAGAATCAATCTTACAGCCCTTCCATAGGTCATGGATCTTCGGCTGCAAGGCTTGGTCTGCAACCCCAAGTGTACGCACCTGCTCCACCACCTCGCCACCCTATCCCTATCTCATCATTATCCCATGTGCAGCGGCCCCCGGATAAGCCAGCACTGCATGATCCCTCACTGAGCGAAGGAACCCGGCAGCGTATTACAGACAAGTACGAAGCCTATAAATGGCCAGTGTGGCATTATGAGCTTCGCTCGGGCACCAGGTTCGATTTTGCCCAATCATACATTGACTACTGCCTTGAGAGAGCCGCTTCTCTTCCACAGAAACCCAAATGGCACTGTCATATAACCACTGGCTTCATAAAGGGAGGTACCCGATTCTCTGTTCTCGTACTCCACAACGCCGCGAATCCATTCCAATGGGGCCCGACGGCTGAAACCACAACGACCATCGGTGTATACGGACGCTACGCACATACACACGAGGAGATACGCTGGACGACCATCACTCCGTGGCGAGCAGCCCTGTTCAATGCCAGTTCCGACCTTATTCTGAAGGAAAAATGGGACTTTGACATGCCCAAGGCCAGCGATCGCCGCTTCCATCGCGCCTACTGGCTTGCAGCCAACATGCTCCCACTGAAGGGATTGCTCAATCATTGCATTCCACATGAGAAGCCCCATGATGCCCTTGAGGAAGGTGAGGCTGATGAAAAGTTTGAGATTAAAAAGGAAGATTTGCAGTGTACGTGGAGTAATGGGCAGATGCCAAAGGAACATTGCGAAAAGGTGTGGCAGAAGATACTTGAAGAGATCGAAGGCAAGGAGATGTCACAGCTGGGATCGGATCATATTACTGTTGGTAGTACGGAGAGGGAGTACGAGGTGGACTGAAGGCTGCGTGGGAAGACATTTGTCATGGATCGGCGCTTTATTCATTGGGAACAAGGTATTCTTTTCAATGTGGGACGGCATTCATGGGTATGAATGACGAGAGTTGAAAAAAAAGCCTCTGGGACCTGAACGATGAGTAGCTGATGAGTAGCTACTCACGATTAATAGCATGAATGATGGCCCAACTGTACAAGATTCTCCAATGCAGACTCAGAAAAAAATCCCATCATAGGTCCCTTTCATCAACACAGTCTACTAGATAAATATTATACCCGAAACCTCCCTCTTCCAATTCCCTATCTAGTGACGCGGTCGAATAAGAACCAAAGGGGGATAATCCCATCTAGTCAACCTCCTCCTCCCTTCTTTCCCTTACTCCCAACCCTTCAACCCCTTCGCGCAAACTCTCAACACCAACCCTACTAACCCCGCCTTTCCTCGCCTTCCCCTTTGCCCTTTTCTTCCTAACTCCTCCTGCGCCCCCCGCACTCGCATCCCCAACCGGCGGCGCATCCCTAACCCAGCGACTAATCGCCTCAGCGCGCTCCGTGGAAATCGGGTATTCCCTCCCGTCATCCTGGGCCCAACGTTTCGGCGGTGGTGGCGGTGGTGGAGGCGGAGGAGAAGGAGAAGGGGAGGAGTGGGTAATGGGGTATCCATCCGCATCTGCATCTCCGTTCCTGATTCCGTTTTCTTCAGTGGCTATGGGCTCGGAGGTATGGTTTGGATGTCTCTTCTTTGATTGCTGTTGTTGTTGTTGCTGTTGTTGTTGTTGTTGTTGTTGTTGTTGTTGTTGTTGTTGTTGGAGATGTTGCTGCTGACGTTTCGCTTCCAACTCCTCGTCTTCGCGGTTGCGGCGCTCGCGGGCGCGGACGGCGCGCTGGAATGATTCTTCGTCTACGACTCGCTCATCAGCCAGGGCTTCGAGGATGGCTTCGTGTTTTTGGCGTTCGCGCCGTTGGGCGGGGGTTTCGGGCGGTGGAGTTGTGCTGGCTTTGGTGTAGAGGTCTGCTGTTGTGGTGGTGCCGTTTTTGGAGCTGGTGCCGTTATTTGTGTTGTAGTGGTGGGTTGGGAGGGGAGCAGGACGGCATAAGTTTTCCCATGAGGTGGAGAGTCCAATCCAGTTTCCTGCTCGTCGGAGCACTTCGATCCAGTCGGCGCGCGCGGGTGAGCGGGCGGCGAGGAAAATGGGGTAGCCGTCGCAGACGCGGGCGAGACGTGCGGCGTTGTGAGCATGCCGAAGGTGTTCTTTTGGTGGTGTTTGGATGAGCGCGTGACAAAGGAGGAGAGAGTGTAGGGCGTCGGTGATAAGGGGGTGGTAGGTAATGCTTTCATGGCTGTCGGCGAATGCAGTTGCAGCAGCTGCAGCAGCAGATTCGGCTGCTGATGGAGGTCTAGATGCTGGATATGGCGGTAACGAAGCTGGGGGTGCGGCATCGAAGAGTTGGGATACTTTGAAGATTTCTGGTGGAGGCAGTTTTGCCCATGATGCGCGGTCGGAATTTGACTTTGTCAAACCGCCACGATGGGGAACGAGCGCTTCGGACATGGGCGGTGATGCGTTACCGTTTGTTTCTTCTATTAGTCGGTTCATGTTTGGTTTAGTTTTACTGTTTCCATAGCCATTCTTACTGCCGTTTGCTGAATCGTTTAACCTCCGCAAGAATTCTTCAGCCACCTCTGCGGAAACACCAGGTGTGTAGTCGAAATGCGATAAAAAGGCGAGGTAATCACGAAGAGCGCGTTTGGCGTTCTGTCGGACTTGTTTGCGTGCTTCGAGACGGAGATGGTTTGCATGCGCTTCTTCTGGTGTCATGGGATCTGGGTCTTTGCCCTCTGCAATCATGGCGTCTCGCCGCGCCTTTGCTTCCTCGGCTTCCTGGAGACCATCTAGGGCTGCATGAACATGACTGCATGCTATGGTGAAGTAGACGCCGGCACGATGAAAAAGTAATTGGGTCTCGAGTGAATTGGGTTGGTCTTCGTCGGGTATCTTAACTTCTTGTCTCCAATCTCTTCCATATTGCTCTTGCAGTGTCTTTGCTAAGACTAACTGGTCCTTTCCCGCTCTATGTTGTGCCATCATGTACCGCGCTGTGCTCAGGGCTTCGCTCAGATCTTTTGCAGAGTTTACATAGTCGTCCTTGAATATCCTGGTCAACGCGCGCGTGCGCAGCGGACTGCCGTCGTTGGGCCGCTCTGCGATGATATCGTTCAACGTGTCGAGGGGCGTACACTGTGCCATCATTCGACTGGGAATCTTCTCGTGGAAGAAATGGACGTACTTGGCATCCACGTTGGTCGGCTCGCGCTGCAGCACCAAGTGCGCCACGTCCTCGAGCGTGCTTGCGCTCTGCATGGTCGCAACACTGGCCGCGATCTCATCGAGATGATATGCTTGGCTGAGTTTGTTCGTCGCCAGTTCTCTCATACGATGTTTCCGCTCCCTACTCAGTTTCGACGTGCCCCCTGCCCCGTAGCCTATGCCCAGCGCGGCCGCACCGCCCAGCATGCTATTGCCGCCATTGAGGCTGTTGCTGAGGGCGGCCGAGGTCAGGCCAGAGGTGGCGCGCACAGCGAGATTGGTCGCCTCGTCGACCGCCTTGCGGATCTTGACGAGGTCGTAAAAGACGGCGGGATCAATGGGGTGTGGACGAGGGGAGAGATAATTGCTATGGGCGAGCGACTCGAGGACTTCTGGAGGGAGTTGCAGCCAGGGTCCATGGAACGAAGAAATGTAGCGCCAATGCCTATAGAAGATCTATTAGGGCATGTTCTGCTCGGCAAGGACAGCAAGACGGCAGATGCCGGCCCCAGACTCACTTGTTGCGACAGATGATGAGCGCAGAGGTTGAGGCTTCGCTGCCCGCCTTCTTCGCCGTCCCTGTGCTTCCACCAGCAGCAGCAGTAGCAGCAGCCGGAGCAGCCGAGGGCGGCGGTGTCGACGAAGCGCTCCCGTTGGTTGCCGCGTCCGACTGTGCACTTTTCTTCTTGCGCGCCATGTCTCCAAATGCTTGCTGAACGGGCAATTAATTCGGCCAGTCGGCCGTCCCTGGATCGTGGTCATCGCAGACGTTGCTATCGATAACAAATTTCGTCTTGGCACCGACGCCGTCGCGGAGCTTGCACGCTTGTCTCCGACACAATTCACTCGGCTTCAACCTTGCCTTCCTCCCTGCACTGTCACCATCCTCCATCTTGTCGCATCCGTCATTCCATCTGTGCAGGCTTGTTTTGATCATCGCCACCCTGAGCCGCAACCCTCTGGAAGCTAGCTAGACCCAGGACAGCAGCAGCACACCATTGCTACAGAGACGCCTCCTCCAAAGCGCGACTTGCAGCCCCGCCCTGCTGCTTCTCTGTGACAACATGAAGACCGTTTCCATACGCAACCACATATGTTCGCCTACGCGCCCATACCTTGGTCCCGTCTATCGAAAATCTAGACAGTCACAACATCTTCGCACACCCTTTTGAGCGCCAGACAACCCCTCTTCGTTACACATATGGCACGCCTTATCCAATCATCCTTCAGCTACACAAGCCATGTTTTCGATGTCCGGTTAACGTTATCAACTGAGTGGGATTTCTGCTTGGCTTCGCCCGGATTTCCGATCTATCACCGCCATTGGAGGGATTAACTCGTAGAATGTCATATTTCCGTGATATGTGCGAGCATCGAGGCATGATGATCGGTCTTCGACATACAAGTCCATGTGCTTTTCACTAATACACTTGCTTCGGGAATCCTACCTAACTGCGTGAACACTAACCATGCGTTCTACGTTTCTACCCACCGGATAAGCATCGCTAGCGATACAGTGATCATCGTACCCGCTGCCGGTTTTCCGTTTTGACTTTTGTCTTCTACCATAGCTCCTTGACCAAGCCGGGAGAGACACAAAATGCACCTTCTACTTTCACAGCAAACCCCAGGAACAACAACGTGGACTATGCAAAATTACCGATTCATGATGCAATACTCGAAAGGTCTCGAACAGGTCACCAGATGTATTGTTATCATCATGTCCCACTCTACACACCACCACGAAACTTACTAGAGTACCCATCTGGATCACTACCTTCCTGAACGGCTAAGCGAAAAACGTCTCGTAGGTCTTGCTTATTGGTCAACAACGTCCAAGTCACATTGCATACATGCATGCATGGTCCTCGGTAACCTATCCCCGCTCCACCTGCCCCTAGCCGTGGATGTTTGTCTGGCATTCCTCGACATACCAGTACTTTGCAGCATACTGACGAAAATCGTTGTCGCGTTTCCAAGTCATTCGGTGACAAAATTGGGCTGTCATGATTCGCGTCGGTTTCACAATGCAGGATTGGCATGGTGGTGTTCGACGTATCGAGTGCCTACAGTAGCGTGCAGTGATGACGATTGAAATCCTGGAGTCCTTGGCTGGGCTCACACCAAAACCCCTCATCATTGGCCCCTCCACACATGCCACAGTTGTGGCAATTGCTCTGTAATCCGCGCTATAGACTAGCATACTGTGGCGTCGGTCACACAGCGTTGCCTAGAACATGGTGATGCTCGTATTTGTATTCGGGAAAAATCTCGCGCGTTTCGATGCCAGTGGCAGAGGTGGGGTTGAGATTTGTCGATATCCTGTTATCAGGTACACCGGAATGTGGGCAGCTTCGGCGGCTTGTCAAGTCGCCGAGATTATTGTCAGCAAGGGCACCTCCCACGTTGTTCAATCATGTGCTATGACCGCTTGCTTTAGACTGCGATCCCCCGCTGCAATCCCCCGGCATACGGGAGATAATCGACAAGGATGCTTGGCCCCCCATTCGTGGAGCTTGACGGAAAGCTTAATCAAATGCGCTAGTACTGGGCTTCAACAAGGCGTGGCCCGGGTGGCTGACGGACGCTAATTCAAAACGCTGGCGTGTGCTGCGGGGTAGATGAACTCTTTCTTACACTCCTCGCTCATGGGAAGCCTTATTCTAGGATACTGAAAAAATAAGAATGTCTACTTCAAGATCTAGTCGTCTGTGCGGACAGCCGAGTAAAGGCAACGGCACCTCAGTACGGCGTTGCGGCAAAACGCGGCATGTAACTCAAGCTTAGGTCGGCACAGCTTAGAAGCATACTGCGTATGCAGCCAAGCAAGCATCATCTATGTTGCCGCCAGTGCTCTAGTCACACTAAGCAACCTGCTCGTTTTGCGTTGTTTCGTGGTGGCCTCGCAGACAAAACCTAGAATGGACACTTTGCAGATGTCTCCACTCAGTGCGGTATCCGCACCGGTTCCTCAAGACGGTAGGTCCGCTGTTCAACAGGGTATCAAATACGCCCTTTGCAGTTCCTTTCCGTCTTTGGACAATGCGGAATCGATCCACGCGCCTCGGAATGGAGTGATTGGCAGTGCTTCGACGTAGTAACCTGCCTATGCGTTGCCGGCACGTTCACATGCGAGTAAGCTCAGGAATGGGTGTACTGGCTTGAGCTTCTGTAGGTGCGTATCTCAGGCCAACATCCACTGCCCAGGTTCGCTTGCATGAGGCTCCCGTCCGCCCGATAAACCACTTTACCGGGATTCAAGGCTGTATATCTATGCTTCCAAATGTGCAATACAATTGCTCTCTAGATTGTCTTGCTTTCTCTAGCCGAGACCTTCCCTGGAGTGGTCTGCTATTTTTCTCCCCACAGATAATTCATCATGGAGTACTTTAGGAAGAAAGCCAGGCAAAGCCATGAAGCGATAACTACAGACACCACCATTCAACGCACTGTACGCTATGGCGGAAAGGCTTTCCGTGCTGCTCCTTCGGTCGCTGGACAGTACCTGCTCCAGAAGGCCCCAATCATTCAGTGGCTTCCCAAGTACAACCCAAGATGGTTTCTCAACGACACTCTAGCTGGAATCACAGTCGGCGTGCTGCTCATCCCTCAGTCACTTGCGTACGCAAAGATTGCCACAATTCCAGGGCAGTATGGCCTCATGTCGAGTTGGCTACCCAACTTCCTCTACCTTATCATGGGCACCTCGAAAGGTAATACCCTCGCTCCTATGAAGTTTGTAGACTAATGGCAATTATAGATCTCTCAACTGGCCCTACATCACTTATGGGTCTGTTGACTGCCGAGATTATCGAAGATGTTTCGAAAGACGGATACAGTCCCCAGGCCATTGCGTCAGCCGTTGCCATGTCTGTTGGAATATACTCCATGGCGCTCGGCTTGCTGAAGTTGGGATTCCTGCTAGAGTTTATATCTGTACCAGTCTTGAGCGGCTTCATCTCGGCGGCAGCCATCGTCATCATGCTTGGCCAAATTCCATCCCTATTCGGAATCTCGGTTCGCTCCGGCACAGCCCACATCATACACGACCTCTTCGCTAAGATACCTCAATATGATGGACCAACATGTGGAGTTGGTCTTGGTGGGATATTGCTGCTCTATCTCATGCAGAAGATGGGCCAGCGCTGGGGAAAGAAGAACAAGGTCATCTGGCTACTGGCGCTTGGACGCAGTGCTGTTGTCCTTGTTCTTTTCACGGGTATCTCATACGCTGTCAACAAGGACATTGATCTTGAGAAGGATGATCCTGTTTGGGCGCTTAGCAAGGTCAAGTCCAATGGCATTGCAACGCCTCGCATGCCCGACTCAGCTCTCATCAGCAAAGTATTTGCTCGTTCCATTGCCCCCTTTATAGCTGCGGCGCTTGAACATCTGGCTATCGCTAAAGCATTCGGTCGAAAGAATGGATATGTAACCGATGCTGCCCAAGAGCTTGTCTACCTTGGCTTCACCAACTTCTTCAACTCGTTCTTCTCATCCATGTCTGTCGGAGGCGCCATGTCGCGGACTGCAGTCAACTCTGAGTCTGGGGTCAAGTCACCTGCCTACGGTCTAGTCGCTGGTGGTGTAGTCATTCTCAGCATCTTCAAACTTTCGCCAGCACTATATTGGATTCCAAAGGCCACACTAGCAGCCATCATCGTTACGGCAGTATGGCACATTGTGGTCCCCGTCCGAGTTTTCTACGGCTACTGGCGCACCTCTCTAGTCGACTTCATCACCTCCATGCTCGCCTTCTGGCTCACTCTCTTTGTCTCATCAGAGGTCGGCATCGGTACGGCGGTTGGCTTCAATATTGCCTACCACCTCCTCTTCATGGCCTTCCACCGTGTTCGCCGCGTCACAACCATCGCCGTAGAATCCAACGCGCGTATACCAGGTAAACATGCCGTCCCCATGGACACCCAAGTCTTCCGCATCCACCAATCAATGCTTTTCTATAATGCATACCACATCAAGAACCAGTGCCTCGACAATGTCCAAACATACAACTCGGGCGATGTCGCAACACTTGAAGCTGCGCACGCAAACCGCAACTGGAGTGTCGCTGGCAAAGACCGCGCTGCACGTCTCCGCTCCAAAGCAGACATTATCGATGAGCCTGTCCAAATCCGCAACGTCGTCATGGACATGCGTGCCATGCACAATATTGACACCACTGGTCTGACTGCGCTCAAAGACCTCAAAGCTGACATCGAGGCGTTTGGCGGTAAGAACACGCAGTTTAGACTTGTGGGCCTGAACGAACGGGTGCGCGACCGCTTTGCCCGGTTTGGATGGAATTTACGTGATGCGCCAGGTGTAGGTAGTGAAGATGCGGAGAGGAAGGGTACGCGTGTGTATGAGACGCTTGAGGATGCCGTGTTTAGGCGGTCGAGGAATTTTTCGACAGATCAGATTACAGTTGAACCGGTTGAGGTTCACATTGTAGGAGATGACAAGGAGAAGGTTTAGGATGGTATTTTTTTTCTTTGTTAGGCTTTTCCTTTCCATCTTGTAGTAGCTATGGACCACGTATTCCGAGTTTTTTCTTTTGCACATTTTACTGTTTCAATTATTCAATGCCAACAATTCACAGGAGAATTCTTTGTTGTTTTGAACACAGAAATTCAGCCGTTGTGATCTGAAAGCACACGTAGATTGGTGGGATACTCTTGTATACGAAATCAATCATTTTTAACGCATTGCAGTGCGGGGGCTTACCCATGTATGGCTTCATTATTTTGACAAGTGCTGTTTTTTCTCTATAGTTCTGTTCTACCACCATCACCCAGTAACACAGATTAGTCTTCTCTATTTTCTTGTCACTGCAAAATCTTGTTTATTTTTCGATACCCGATTCCGGCAGGTTGGGGTGCGGTCTTTCATACTTTTCTGACATGACTGATCTGATACGCTATGTAGCAAACAGACATACGTAACAAAAAAAGGTCAAGTCAAATTTTCTGGGGAGAGTACCTCCTGGATTTTGAAACACTTTTTCAGTGCTAAAACCAGTTTCTGTTCGATTTTCCTGGAACGTCAAATAAAGTTTTCTCGGTTTTTTTCCTACATTTGACTTCTGTAAAAATCAACTTCTGAGTCAACTATGTATCTGATTACTTCATGTTGCTTGTATTAATGAATCCACATTGTTTGTATTTCATTCCATCTTTTACTCTCATATGTGCTCAGAAATTATGTATGATGGTGTACAGAGTAAGCTATGTATATTCCAGAAAAAAAAATGCGTTCATGGTTAGCGACAATCAACAAGCAACACTGCATCGTCGCCTCAGGAGCAATGACATCAGAAGCCAGACTACACAATATTGTTTTGTTACATTGCCGAAAAAAACGCCATACAGGTCATTAGACAACATTCTGGTTTGTGGACTTGGCTGTCTGTAGTGGCATCACGCCCGTCACAAACTATGATCTGACAGCTCGCACAAAGTTTGCGCCATCACACCCAGAAAACAAGTCTTCCACGTTACATCGTGTCAAAAACGTGCAACAACTATGCATCCGTTTGGCACCAGCGTTGTTCCTACCTCTCCGTGCAATTTTTATCACGTTTTTTGGCAGATTCTAGCGCAAACAGCGACAATCCATGGTGCGTTATTCATCTTCGTTTTGCATCAAGATGCTGCTGCAAGACATTTCCGGTGCAAAGCAGCTCGACACAAAGTGTCATCATTCTACACACGCGTTTCTGCGTTCGATCTCGTTTGGCCACAGCTTGTTGAATCGAAAAATGTGTTGTATACACCTCCGCACACATCTCCACGCCTCAATGCGCAACTTCCACGGGGTGGTGAGCCTCAACACTCATCCAGTCTCTGACCCGCCAGACCCCAGACTATCCAGAACTTCAAAAAAATCTATTTCCGTCCCTCCTATATCGACCTCAACTATTGCTGACCCACGATCCACCTCGTCGCTTTAACCCACCAAATGTTTCTGGCAACCCGTCAAACACCGCCAAGCTCCATGCCTCCCCAACTCTCAGATAGAATAAAAGCATGTCTTGTTACTATATTCTGCATCTGATCTAACCCCCATCATGCCCCATTCATGCCTTTCAATACACCCCCACCCCCACTTCCCCCCGGTCGCTAAGAAAAGAGAAAGAGAAAAGACACTGCTCACGCCTTACGCTTTGAGCCGCATACGCGCCCCAACTCTCACCCCCAGTTTCAGAAAAAGGCGTGATCTTAGCACTGACCTTTTCTTAGACCCTGTTGCACTGACGGTACAAGGAAAAAATTGGTGAGTGTACCAGGCGCTTGATTGTCTGGGGGTGCCAAGGGAGTCTGGTTGGTTTGACGTTGGACGTCGCAATGCCTTTGAGCCCACGCTGTTGCACGTGCTTGCACGCGTTTCACTGGGCTAATGATACCAGACGATAGATTTCTTAGTAGTGCCGTGGTGGTATTTCCCATAGTTTGCATGGCTTTTCACTAGCAACAGTATCATCGATGGTCCTGGCGAGATTTAGTTGCGATGATGTTTTGCTCCACAAACATAAGGTAGTGTATTGATTCTGCAGGATGCAGATCCCCTTCTCGAAGAGGAAATTTTTTTGAGCGTTCCCTCGCTCATACAGTAAGCTGAGAAACTCTCCGCTGCTGTCGATCAAACGGCGCTTTGGGGGAGGGGCCAGCGCATGATGGGCCTTGGTACAAGGCTTGTGGTGTCTAGGCAAGCAGCCTTGTGGGGAAAGGGAAGAGGAGGGTCTAGACGGCGATACTATGGTATAGCACACTCTGTGTATTTCCATGGATTCTCTACGGAGTAAACTAAATTTAGTAGTGAAACTGTTTGATCAAGGCATGTGTAACGCGACGCTAACTCGCGCGGGATCGGTTCGGCTCTATTACGCTACACGGTGCCAAGAGGTACAGTATACCGCATAATTAGCACTGTTTGGGTTCTGAGTAGCTACACATTGTGACAATACCTGTTTAAGACTGGTTTAGAGTGCCCATACAAAGCTAAAGTCAACGCATAGTCTTCGAGAACGCTTTGAAACACGTGACACCCGTACTAAGTGTTTACTCTTGACTGAACTATTCATGCTCACGTGCCGCAATTGTCCATGCTTACGCAACAGAACTATTCATGCTGGCCATGTTTGTCCTAAATAGTTGTTAGCGTGTGTGTGTTTGAGTGTAGTTGGTGACAGCCACCTAGGCCGTGCGCTGTGAATGCTAGACGAGTAACGTCTATGCTAAGGGATTCAGATGTTTCTCGTGTTTATGCTCCTGTCTTGGTACCTGTATCGTTGATACTGTAGTAACGACTTGGCGTTCAAGCCTGGTGTTTGTGTTTTCAAGAAGTATGGCATCTCAAGTGGTATAAAGATAGGCAGTTGCGCATCTTTTGCAAATCATCAGATCAGCATCACTCGATCTATCATCACTTCCATTCTCTCTCGGTCTCGCAGGTTGACGATCACTCACTTTTCAAATTCACTTCGAAAGTCGAATTCGCAACTTCAAGCCGGTCTTTTTATCCAACTTCATTCCTACCAAACCCCACCCACTCTTTCAACATGCATCCCTCCACTATCGCTGCCATCTTGGCCTTCACGGCCGGCATGGCTGTCAACGGCGCGCCGCTCAACCCCTCTGTTGACATCAACCCCTCCTCCAGGCTTCTAACCATCGATGATCTTCAATACAAGCCTGAGCAGTAAGTCCTCTATAGCAAACATTATAAGCCATAAGATTAACAGTATTAGGGGTGATGCCATTCACCAGTTGGTTGACAAGCGTGATCCTCAGCGTGGTCGCCGCATTGGCAAGGCCTTCGAGGGAATTGGCGATGCTATTGGCGGTGCTGCCGACTTGCTTACTATCGGCGGCGCTGTCCAGGGCCAGCCCCAGAAGCGTGATCCTCAGCGTGGCCGTGGCCGTGTCATCGGCAACATCGCTGAGGGAATTGGCGGTGCTATTGGTGGTGCTGCCGACTTGCTTACCATCGGCGGCGCTGTCCAGGGCCAGCCCCAGAAGAGAGGCCTTACGGTCGTGGATGATCTCGGTCAACCAGTAGTGGTCAGTGAACCCGCTGACTACAACCTCGCTGAGGGACAAAACGAGAAGAGAGACCCTCAGCGTGGCCGTCGCATTGGCGGCTTTATCAAGGGCTTTGGTGAGGGTGTTGGAGTT